AACTCAAGTAAAAGTCACTTTACAGCCCATATTCAAATCCAAGAAGGCTATTCTCTGACCACCACTTCTGCATGTATGAGATCCCATCTCGCCCTGATTTGGTTTTAGGAAACTGCTGGTTTTTCGGAGACTCTATTGCAAATGTGAGGGATAAAAGACGCATAAACCCCTCAAAGAACCTACTACCAAGAAATAAAATATCAAACATTAAAAAATAATTAATAGGCACAGCTATGTTTATCTACATATTCACAAGTCCACGAGTGCATAGAAAAAAAAAAAGCATAAAAAGACACATATCAAAATTATAACAGTAATTATTTCAGAGTAAAATGTGGTATTGGGAGATTTTATTATACTGTATGAATTTTACACAATGAAAATGGGTTGAAAACTAAATAAAATGAGAGATCCAAAGGGAGGAAAAAAAGACAACTAGTAAATGGAGCAGCAGGTCCCTTTAGCCGATAGTTTTCAGAAAATGTTTCACAAGTGAAAAGTGTATTTCAAATGAAGCTGGAATTATGGGTGGTCGTTAGCGGGGCAGATGGATGGAGGAAAGGCATTCCTGGTCAGGATAACAGCAAGACAAAGACAGAGAGGTGGAACTGCCCAGACGAGCTTAGGAGACGATGAAGACAGAAGTGTACTGAAAACCCTATTTGAGTAGACAGTATGGGACGTAAGATTAGGATACTAAACTGATGCTAGATAATGGAAGAGGCTGAATATCATGCTAAAATATTTAGACTTTCAGTGTCCAAATTCGCACATTCCAGAACCTCATTGAAGCCGTCAGACTCTCTCCATTAAAAAATTAATTCTGAATTCTAAACATATTTTAGATGGTTTCAGCTAAACCATCAGAGCTAGTCACCAACAAGAAACGCCCAGCCTCAGCGCATTGCCATTGTAATTCCATAGGCACCGGGAAGCCATGGAAGGTTCTTGAGCAGTAGAAAAATGTGGAATATCTCTCTATGGAAGTAAAGAAAGCGCTTTCATGGAGCGTTGTTGTGAGATAAATACAGCTTTGTTTACAGTTTATTTTTCCCTCACACCTGCCGAACTGTGAAGGAGGGTTTGTTTGGTGTCTCTTTTGTCTGACTCATCACCCACTGATTAGCTCAGCCTAGAGGGAGGCAGCTGCAAGTGCTGGGGGAAAGGCAACGACTAGGGTGAGTTTCAGATTCGGTGTGACCTGGACCAACCCAGTCTGAGCTGTTTGATTCGCGTTCAAAAGATGAAACAAGAGTCTGTTTTTTTAAGATGACAATATTTCACCAAGTATTCTAGACTAAATGTGAATAACATATATATATCTTATAAGGAAGGTACTCTTATTTTCCACATTTTTAAAATGGGGAAACAGAGGCATAGAGTGTCAATAACATGCTGGGGGTCACAAAGACTACTTAGGGACCAGATCATCATTTGAACCCTGGCAGTCTGACTCCAGATTCCATGGGCCTTAGCCATCATGCTGTGGTGCTGTTTAAATTTTATGCAGTGAGGATGTGTTTGTATTTTGAAATCCCTTATCTTCACCCAAACCTATTTTCTTTCCGGGCTAGCTTCCCTTCATGTTGTGAATCCGATTCTTTCCAGTTCCTTTAGTACTTTATCAACTGCCTCCTCAGCCTCTCTTCCCAGAGGCTCCTTCCCCTCATACTTGCTCAGATAATCTCCAATCTTAAAAAGCAAAGTCAATTACGTGTACTTGGACTCTCCTCCCCTCTCTCCCCTTCTTTCACCATCAAACTTCTCGGAAGATTTATCTGAATTATTCTTCGTGGACAACTGAGCATCTTGCAGGCTGGTTTCTATCTGCTTCAGGCCTTTAATACAGCCACTTTCTCAGAAGCTACCTGAGGCTTTGTAACCACCACCATCCTGTGACTTTTTTTTTTTTTTTTTTTTTTTTTTTTTTTGCCCAATGTCTCTGTTGCATTTGACTCTGTAGACCATACTTTCCTTGGTATTCTCTGCTCCCTTGAGGGCTATGACATGGTGACCCCTTGCTCATGCTCCTTCCTGTCTTCCCACCCTGCTAACCTTGCACTCTGGATCCTCCTGCCCACGAGTAGGTGTTCTCCAACAGCCTGTCCTTGGCTCTCTCCTCCTCATTGCTGCGCCTGCTTCCCTTGATCTCGCCCACACCCACGTCTTAAATCATTGCCTCCCTTTGCACTCTATTTCTAGTTCCAGCCCCCTCTGACTTCTAGAGTTGCATTCCCAACCTCCTGTGAACAACTCGATCTGGAGGATCAACATGTTGCAAAGAAAGCCCAGATGTACCCCCCGGAACTCTCATTTCACCTGGGAGGGCCTCACTGTCAATTGAGGACCTGGGATGAACATCTCTAGGATCAGTGCAATTTTCATTCTGCCTGCAAGAACTATCAATTAAAATCGTGACTCATTGCTCAGAGCTCAGTGAATGTAAAAAAATTAACAGGGAATATGAAGTGTAAACATGAATCAGATGGAGGAAGAAAGAACAGTTCATATTTTATGTCGGTTGTTTAATGACTAATCAGGACACATTTTCATGTATTGCTGATGTATTCCTTTCCCTGTCAATGGTTTCAAAAGAGCCATCACAATTCACCCTGTTCTGTAAATTCAACAATCTCTTAAAATGAGGGTCTCCTGGAATCTCTGCAGATGAAAATGTACTGGGCATCTCCCTTTCAAACAACACATTTGAGACTGTTTTCTATTCTTTGATTAAGATCATGAAGAGCCTTTACTCTGGTGACAAAATTAGAGTTTAGTAGCAAACCAGAAGTAACTAAAAAAACTAAGATCCATTAGGAATTGTCCCTTTTAGCACAACCAAAAGCTATAGAATAGAGAATGGGAAAGATATCTTTAGGCAAAAGAAACTCATACAAAATAGACAGTAGATTGTTCTCTTTGTGAAGATCTCCAAGAATGGACACTCCACATTCTTCCTTGGTAACGCCTTCCAGCAGTTAAACAACTGTTATGAATCCTCGGAACTGAAAGTAAGAGGTTTAAATTACATGCAGAAACACTTAAATGAGCTTGGGTCTGATGTCCACAGGATCTGTTTCAGGACTATTGAGTCAAGCTGGTCCTCTCAGTTTCTCCATGATAAAGTTTGCATGGGTGTGTTGTAAGGAAGCTCTGGGCCTCCTCTATCCCCCAGCATTGACCAGGGAGGAGATCATCCTGAGGGCAGTTTATAGGTTCTGCAACGTGGAAAGTTCATTAAATGTGTGAGTGAGTAAGCAGAAAGAAGAGCAGAGTGAAGGTGGAAAGGTGGAAGGAAGGGGCTCTAGGAGAATTCAGATTCTCAAGGACCTGACTGATGGGCATTGGGACGACACGGATACCTAAGAGGTTAATAAGCACTGATTGAAGGCTGTAATCAGTAAACAGTCTGTCTCTCAAACGAGCAGGCTTTAATTATCCTTTTGATATTTTCATTCATGGCGTCATTCCTTTGTGGTACAAACCCTCAGAAACTCCTCCCCAAGCCTTCTTCTGCAGTGGAGAGAGAACCAGACCATGTGCGCCCTGTCTCTTATCACTGCTTACCTAATTTGCATGTGGCTTTTCCCATAAGAAGGGGTCTTTAGCCAGGGAAACCAGGAATGGAGTCCGCACAGTGCCTTGCCCAAGAACTGTGTCTCTATTTGGTTAGTGTCTGATCCAGTTCTTGTCTATCCTCACTTTTGTCGTTAAAATAGGGTAAATCATTCCACATATCTGCCTGTTATCTCACTATTTTTCCTTGGTTAACTGTAATCTCTCTCCTACTTCCTACAGATCCTGCCTCTGAATGAGACTGCCCACTATGCATGCGCCTATAGTGCATACTCTGCAAGCATTTGTTAAACAGAAGAATGAATGAATGAATGAATATCCTAATCCTATCATCGGTCGTGTCAACACCTCCATCTTTTTTCTTAGCAAGAGTCAAATTAATCCTTGTCTATTGCCAGCTTTTCACCAAGAAGGCTTAGATTCTAAATCACTGTAGAAATAATAGATTTTCTGCTTTCTTTCCTTTTTCCATTTCAACATTCAGAAAACTCACATTGGAAGATAACAGGACCTTTTCTGAGATTCTTTGTCTTCCAGACTCTTCCAGGGGAGCAGAGCTGCACCAGCCTCGGGTGCTCAAAGGGTGTCCGTCTTTCTCACCAAGAGGAGGGCGAAGCAGTTTGTTCATCTCAGCCTCCGCACCCCCTACAGGCCTGGTTTGGCTCTGCATTCACAGACACATGCCCTGTCTTGCTCCACACATCGTGGCCCGGAGCATGGGAGAAGGTCATACAACATAGCCAATAGGTCTAGCCTCAGCTTCCCATGACCCACACACATAACGTTAAAGGGAAAACAATGAACAAAACTGGCTGGGGGTGTCCTTGGAAATCAACGGCCCCCACGGCTGACTGACAGCCAAGGCTCCACTTAACCTCAGTGGAGGACCTGAACTCTGACCCTTAACCTATCACTGAGCAGTGGTGTGATCTTGGATAAAAAATCTGAACCTCAACGGGTCTGTTTTTTCTTCCATGAAATGGACGTAAGTAAAATTTTGCCGCTAAGAACATACAATTTCTGTGAAAACCAAAATAATGTAAAATCAGAGCCGGGTATGAATGAAGTCACAGGGGAATATAGAAGAAAAATGATTTGCCCAAATTTCCAAAGCTTTTTTTCAGAGTTGCATCCAAACTAGCTCCAGGTCTCAACTACTCCATTTGGAGGGTCTCAGACTCCCAACCTCCTCCATCTTTCCCTATCTGTGGGTGAAAACACTGGGAAAACTGTAATGTGTTAGATTTGAGGTACTGTTGTTATTATATTTATAATACATATAAAGACTTGTGGGTTCTTGTCCTATAATATCATGGCTAGGCTATATGTTTTTACCTTTCTTCTTTAAAAATAAAAAGGATACAATTTTATTCTTTTTAAAAAAAGCAAACATTTATGCTTGTTTTATTTTTTATAGCAGAGAAATAAAACAGCAACAAAAAAACCTATATGGTCATGAAATATATTTCCTTTCTCTGTAGCTCTACCTGTGCATAGGTACTACAGTTCCAAGCAGACCCATATCTATTGTAAAATAGAAATTACTGCCCACCTTCTTACCCTAGCCTCCCAAATCCTTCATGGACTTTGGCCAAAGTCCACTGAAAGATGGGCAAAGAGCAGAGGTAGAATTCTGGGTGAAAGTTGTGCTCGGTGATCCAAAAGGGAAAAATAAAATCTGCCAGCAGTTATTCTGGGGTTTGCACAATTCTAGAATGATAAAAAATGGAGAGAGGGACAAAACATCTGGGGATAATAAGGAGGAAACAAGCAAACTTGGGAATTAATAAAAAATACTGTTTTCCAGAAAGGAGCATAGCACTTCAAAACAGATGTTTGGGCTTGAAATTTTCCAGAACAGAACAAATGAGAGGGGAGAAGCAAGCCTAAGAACTGGAGCACAGCGGGGCCTTCATAAAAGAACCACTGGCCGTCAAAGAGTTAACTGCAGTTTGAACATGCTTAAGTCTTTCATCTCTTGCTTCCAAATCCCATCCCTTCAAAACACACGTCTTTGTCCATACATCTCCAAATGCACAGAGAGATGTACTTAGGAGCTAACCCCTGAAAAAAACTCCAGAAAGGCACACCAGTGGAGAATGCCAAGCTGAAGGCAAATCTCCTTTGCTTCTGGGTAGGGAGAAGAAGGGAAGAGCTAGGCAGAGCCAATGACCTCCTCTGAGACTGAGGCTGAGTTACAAACACGACTGAGATCCAAGCTAGAGATTCAATAGTAAGAAAAGTGCCTGCTGTTTTCTTGCTCATTTCTCTTATCTACCCTGGGAGTTAAGCATATGTTAGAGTGAAAGCCACAGACCATGTGTCCCTGAAGATACTAGAAGGAACATTCAGAGTTTTGACATTAACCTACAGCTGAAGGAGACACTGCCTGTTCCTGGCCCTCTGTATCTGGAGTAGGTGGGTATATATTAAAGGGTTTTAGAAGTTCAGAAAAAGACCAAACAAGTCATAAATGACTAAGAAAATCACAGCTATAGTAGATCTATATTTCTGTTCAATTACACCTTACATTATGCAGCTGTTGGAAACACTGTTGACCTGATTATATTTTCTTACATAAGGTGATTCTTTCATGTTCCAATAAACAGGTGACTCTATCCACTGCTGTCCAAAAGAGATATAATGAAAACCACATATGGAATTTCAACTTTCTAGTAGCCACATTTTTAAAAAGATAAAAAGGTGAAATTAATTTAACAATATATTGTTCTTAATGTACTACATCCAAAATGATTATTATTTCAAAATATAATCAACATAAAAATTATTATTGGCACATTTCATTTTTGCATTAAGCCTTCAACATTTGGTATGCATTGTTCACTGGCAGCACATTTCAATTTGGATTAGTCACATTTCAAGTGCTCAATAGCTGATGTGACCAATGGCCACCATATTGTTCAGCAGTCACTGGTTTGACATAGTGATTCTTTTTCTACCCTTTATTTTTGGCAATCTATATCTTAATCTTGTTGAAAGAACTGCCAACAATGTCTCATCTAACATATCAAAAAACATGTATCCTCTTTTGAAGCAAAAATAACTTTTACACAACAATGAAAATTTGGTGGAATTCCTATGTAAGTATCACAAAATATCAGCATGTCCTAACTTACCTGTTGAGAATAACTGGTAAGTGAGAGAAAGAGGGGCTGAGAAGGGAAAATATGTTTCTACAAAAAGATCCAACCAATAATTATCAGAATGTCTCTTTGATGGTTTCCACAGTAAATTGTCAAATCAAAGCCCTTTAGAGTATCTAGTCCAAACTTCGTAAGTAATAAAGAGCTAGGTAAGTTACTGTTTAATTCAGAGTTACCCAGAAACTGGTGCCAAGGTTTGTCTTAATGATATATCTAACTATATCATTAATTATTTAATATTCAGATATACTTACATGTTAATTATATATAATTATGAATCTAATATATACAATTATATATGCAATATATTATATTTAATATACATATATATGTTATATACATTTTAGCCTAATTTATGTAGTGTAAAAACCAGCTGTAGCTTTAAATAACCTTCATTTAAAATCATCTTATATTTTCATTATTGTGATATTGTAATGTTATTATTTAGTACATTTGCTGTGTAACACTATTAACGTTTTTAATAACTAAAGTTTAGAAATGCCCCCATGTTGAAAAAACAGCTAAATTAATCTAAATTAACTATGGACACAGGTTGAAGGAAAGAGCTTTTGCCTTCTGTCAAAATAACTCACATTTTTGAAGGACAGCCGAGACATGTAAAGAACATGCATTTGCATTCAGCATTTATTGTAACAAACAACAACAGAAAACATAATTTAGAGACATTTCCCTTTATTAATTTGCTTTTCTGAAGTCAGTTGTAAGTATGTTGATTCCCTCCCACCCTTTGTTTCTTTCCCCTAGGATGGTCCCTAACCACAATGAGGCCATAATTGGAGAACACAGGAGGATTGATTTGAAAATGTCACAAATGTTGTTAATCAACTCCCATGGACATAAAAGATTCATTAATTCATTCTGTAGGCAATCAAGTTCACCATGTCTAGGGCATATTTTAAGGAATGAAACTGAATGGCTGAAAACGCAAATAAAAGACATTTTTGAATATTTTAATTTTAAAGTGAAATAGCAAAAGATGTAAATCTCAGAGTTAAGAGTGGCCAAAATACACTCGGCCTTTATGTATACTGCATTTCAAGTAAATGGCTCTGAAAGAAATTCTTTGACCATAGGAGAGCCTTCATTCTCTAGCAATCTCAATTCCTTGCTAAATCTTCAGTTATGATTTCATCTATGCAAGTTATAATGAATTTGTTTTAGTGATCCAAAAAAGGGAAATAAAACTGCATTTTCCTTCAATCACTCAGCTCATTTTAAAAGATTATTTTTATAAATGATGTTAAATTGACTTGATTTTCACAGTTGCTTTCAATTAAATCAAAATGACTCTTTCTGGAACATACAAAAAATAGAAATGTTTAAAAGCAAATGCTTTGAAAAGTGGATAATGTGCTACCCACAACTTCATGAGAAATATTTTTATTGAATAATATTTATTAGAATAGCATATCCTTAGCCTTGATCATACATGATCTATAAGTCAAATTTATGTTGAGAAATTTTTATTTTACCATGCATTATCCCCTTGTATTTCATTTGTCAACTGAGAAAAATTTGAGTGCCTCTGTGAGATACCATGTAGATTACCTCTGCATAAAATTTATACCCTAACTAAGGAAGTCATTACTGAAATATGGAAACTCCTTGTCAGAAACTGCTTCTTAAAATATAAAAAGAAAGACAAAATGGAATTTGAAAAGAAATAAAATAATTTTAAAAACTTTACATGGCCTGGAATCATTTGATAGAATGTGCTTTTATTCTCAGTATCCTAGACAGTCAATTACCACTTATAGGAGAGCTATAGTTAATAGTTAATGAACATATGCCTTGAATGAGTGGGCTTGAGGAAGAAAGCGGAGAAAGGGGGCCACATTTCACATCTGGACAGTTTAGAGCCTGGCTTAGCTGAAAGAAGGGAAATACCATAGAAGGTGGGCCTTGAGTGGAAGTTAGAGACCCACAGAAAGAGGAACTTGGAACCAGAAGGTGGGGTAGAAATTCGAGCCCCAGGGATCTTGCATGAATCTTGAGAAGTCTGGGGTTGGAGGGGCTCTAGCTGAATTTTGGAAAGCAGCAGTCTAATGAAAACCCAATTAAATCTCTTGAAGGTGACTGATTCTCAAGTCTATATGTGGGTGTGTCTGAAAAGGGGAAGGCCTCTCAAGTTAGCTACAAGAAAACTCTCTCCCGGCTTTACATTCTTAAATCAATATGTTAGCTCCGATTTTATCCAAGTAGGGTTCACCTATAATAGGTGCCTATTAAACACTTCTTGAATGCAGTTGGAAGCCCAAATGACCAAATCTAACAAAGGCTGTCACAATTCTAGAGATGGTAATATTTCTAGAGCCACACAAGAACTGTTAAACAGTAACTAAGCAAAATCAGTAAACAATGAACCTCACCCAAACTGGTCAAATCTGCTTATTGATTTGACTTGTTTTCTTAACCAATTTGTCTTGGGAGTAACTCTTTTTTTTTCTGATCAACCTAGCAGCAGGTATTCATTCATATTCTAAAACATTGTATATTTAAAAGAAAGCTAAATCTGAATTGAATAAATAACACATTAATTTCTGAAGAAATCTGATTCTTTCCTCAAGATCCCTAGGAATAATTTTCAAATAAACCAACAACAAAACCCACCACTGCTGCTTTGGTGGTAATTGGCTTCTGAAGATATTTTTACTTGACTATATATCACTAATGAACAATTATGGTAGGTCACTCTTAATGACAACCTTGACTTTTGGTTGCATCCTTGAATGGTTCTAATGGCTAATGACTTTCTCTTGTAACCAGAAGTACCCAATTTTGCAGTCCTCTGACTTTTTAACCAATAATCCACCTTGGAAGAAGGAAGCCATCCTCATCATTGAGAGTTGAAACAAAAAGTATTTTTCGTGTTGCTATCTCAAGATTACATTGAAAGACAACTCAGTAATTTGCCACCCAATGACATAACGTACTCAATATGCACAATTTTATGGCAAGCTCTAACTTTTGAGGCAGGCTATCATTCAATGAATCTAAAGATAGCTGGTCGTTAAAGAATATCGGGAAGGATTTTATCCTCAACTCTCTACAGACAAAAATGAAGGGATCAGGAATAAGGAAGGGATTCTATCTTTGTGGTAGAAAAGGAAGAAATACTAGCTACCAACCTATCTATGTCATACAAATTATAGAGGGTTTAGGAGTGGTTCCCCAAATGAACAGATCTATTTACAGCTCTAATTTACTTCATAATCTTCTGGGGTGGGTAGTCACAGAGAATCCAGCCAGGCTTTTGAGAAACATTATCTGTAACAACCAAAGCTTCCCCAGACTTGCCAATCACTGACATACAATTAATACACAATAGGAACACAAAGTAAGGCAAGCAAGAGCATAAAGGAGATTGTTTTTAAACAATACCAAATTAGGTTCTCTTAATGAACAATTTCTCTCTCTCTCTCTCCCTGTCCCTCTCTTTGTCTCTCTCTCAAACACAAGTTCATAGTAGAGTTCACAGAGGCCTTTGGGGTCAAACAGATCTGGGTTTGAATCCCAAATCTATCATTTTCTAGTGATATGTACCTGGGAAAGTTATTTAAATTTACTAAGCCTTAGTTTTTTCATCTAGAAAATTCAGGTAATTATCATCAGGATAATACTGACGGTATTTACTTCTCAAGGTTGTAAGGATTCACTGAGATTAAATGTGAAAGTCTGCCACAGAAAGGATACCCAGCAAGTGCCTTTTCTTCCTCCTTTAAAGACAAATAAGAATTAACAGCACATTCCTCTGTAATTAGGAAGTTATCATTGAACACTTCCTCTACAAATCACCTAGAGGCAAGAGGAATGTCATCTACATGAGAAGACAATAAAAACAGATTTATTTAACACATATTTACTTAAAATGTATGCAAAGCTTACACAGCTGCCCTGTCCTGGTCAGTCTCTTTTGTCATCTTCATCAACCTTGGGGCCTAATTCAGCAAAGTCTTAGCACAAGATGGCAAACCACCCCACAAGGACTTAGCAAGCAATGTAGATTTTATTTAAAAATTTGTGAGCAGACCACACAAAATTTTGTGGAAAGGGTTTTAACTGCATACTACATTGGGAAAAAACCTCGATAAAATTCTCTTTGAACCCTTTTATTTACCCCCATAGCCTTTTTTAGATTCCAGCTACTGGCTACCCCCTTCCCCTTAAGAACCCATTCTCCAAATCTCTGCTATTGTTCCAAACAATTCAGCTCTGAGCCTAAAGTAGTGCATACCCCACAAAATAGAGCAGAAAACTGGGATAGTTTGCCAGGCCAAACTTTCTAGAAGTCACTTATGCCACTGTCTATGGTTATCTCAACATGCCAGTGGCAATGAGGTTGTCACTGCAAACCTAAATGATGATCTAATTATTTACCCAGCAAAAGCAAACATTTCTAGCTTGAGGAGTGAGGGGGAGAAATTCTCCACTAAGAAAAAAAAATTAGACTTTCTCTGTATCTTTACTTTTACCATATACAAGGCACCATAGCAAGTGCCAAGGAAAATATGAGCTTGTACAAGAAAAAGATTGTGGGAGATGTATTAATGATCTATTTATGATCTTCTCTATGATAAGAAAGCAGAAAGTTCCAGTAGATAGAGAATTTCTTACAGAATGTTATTACGGGTAAGGACCTTTGGAAAGAGATTACAATATCAAGGTAAATATGTTTTGGTTTGGAATGTACTGATTTGATATTAGTGAATCAAATATTCACTAATCTTTGAACCAATCTTTGCATTGGTTGATGAGAAGAGAGCTGGCCATAAAATTTTTCCAAATTACTAGTATTTGCCTCCCTAGCAATGTTAAGCAGTTGATCTGAAAATCTAGGTCAAACGCAATAGATCAGAGAGGTAGAGTCTATCTTCTAATAGGAAGGGAGACTACTAGAAAAGACTAAGTAACACTTGCCTCATGATTTCAGGAATCATGTTATGGAATCCTTCCAACTCTGAGTGGAGGACTTCTAGTCAGTGGGCAATTGGAAACCACTGGGAGTTAATAAAGAGGGAAGTGAAGTGATGCAATCGGTTTTTTGTGAAGATTACTTTGACATCTCTCCACAAAATAGCTTAGAAGTAGGAGAGAAGGAAAGCAGGGTGGTCAAATATGAGGGTCTAGATTGAGAGGTGTGGGAGAAAGAATGGGTGCACAAATGTTTGAGAACTGGTTTGAATAAGGTTTCAAAATCTGCTGACTGATCAGATATAAAAGAAGAAGTGAAAAAGAAAAGAGTCAAATATGGACTGATTTTGGTCTCCAGTTATTGAGATAATGGTAATATCATTAACAGAAATGGGGAATTTGAGAGGCCCATCTAAGATTGAGGTTAGGCAAAATTAGTCAAGAAAGATTTAACGCACGCCAGTCACTGGACAAGTTGCCAGGGATTCAGCAACTAGAAAACGCAACATGATTCTTGTCCTCATGGACTTCACAGATGGGGGGAAAGCCAATGTCATATAAATAACTACAGATAGTTAACAGTAACAATAGGTGAAACAAATTTTGTAGAATTGCCAAAGAATGGAACTTGTGTTACAGCTTAGGATTTAGAAATGTCCAAGCTGCCTTTTATTTTTCAGTGACTACAGAGAGGAGAAAAAGGTACAGGCAGCTTTCAAACCTCAGAAACCATCCTATATTCATAGCAGCATTATTCATGAAAGCCAAAAAGTAGAAGCAACACAGATGTTCATCAACTGATGAATGGATAAATAAAATGTGGTAAAATGAGACATTATTCTATCTTAAAAAATGAATGAAGAGGCCAGGTGCTGTGGCTCAGGCCTGTAATTCCAGCAGTTTGGGAGGCTGAAGCAAGTGTATCACCTGAGGTCAGGAGTTTGAGACCAGCCTGGCCAACATGGTGAAACCCCTTCTCTACTAAAAATAGAAAAAAATTAGCCAGACATGGTGGCAGGTGCTGGAATCCCAGTTACTCAGGTGGCTGAGGCAGAAGAACTGCTTGAACCCAGGAGGTGGCAGTTGCAGTGAGCCCAGGTCATGCCATTGCACTCCAGCCTGGACAACAAGAGCAAAAACCCAATTCAAAAAAAAAAAAAAAAAAAAAGAATGAAGTGCCAATTAATAATATAACATGGATGAACCTTGAGCATATTATGTCATGTGAAAGAGATCAGTTATAGGGCACCACATACCATATGATTCCATTTATATAAAATGCCCAGAGTAAACAAGTCCATATTAAACAAGACAGAAAGCCAATTAGGGCTGGATGTATGGAAATTCTGTTGGGGATGGGACCTAGGGATGTGGGGTTTCTTGTGTAGACGATGGAGATGTTCTAAAGTTGATTGTGGTGATGGGTGCACAACTCTGCATATACTCAAAGACATTTAATTGTACGCTTTAAATGATTGAAATGTACAGCATGTGAATTAAATCTCAATAGAACTGTTTTTGTAAATCACTTGTGTGGCAGAATAAAGAGGCAGGCTATGGAAGACAGAATATTTTTAAAACCTAAGGGGGTTCATTTTTTAAGCTCAGTTACAGCTAAAGTGATTAACAACAGGTATAATTCATGAACAGTCATTATCTTCTATACTAGCCATGATGGTTTTCCATAGTTATCAAAACATGGAGGTTTAAATGTTAGATGGTTAAACACAAGTTTTAGCTCAAAGTTGTATAATAACTTTGGATGCTAGAGAGTA